GGATCTATTAATCTTATGTTGCATGAGATAATTATCTCATACAACAGAAATAAAATTGTGGGGTCCACTACCTTTTCAAAAAAAGAAAAAAAAAATAATAGACTTCACTATTTTGTCTATGTTGCATGAGATAATTATCTCATGCAACATGAGATAATTATTTTCCAAATAATAAATGGGAAAAATAAATCTTATGTTGTAGGAGAATTCTAATATCATGTTATAAATACATGAAATGTGAAACCCACCTATTTAAAAAAATAAAAAATAAAAAAATAAGTGGCACACCTTTTTATGATGTGTGTAGGAAGGATTGTTTTATCATGTAACATGAAAAAAATAAACTCCATAACAAATATGTTTTGCCTCCAAACTTTTCATTGGATTATGGTAGTTAAATTTTTGATTTATCATTATAATTTAATTTTTTTACAATTTTTTTTTTCAAAATAATTTTATCAATATTTTAAATATTTTAATAATTTTTTTACGTTATGATTTTACGATTTTTTATTTTTTTTTTAATTTTATATAAAATCTCGATTTTAACCGTCTTGATTTCCAAAAAAAAGTCCTATGAAATTTGTCCCGCTCTCCGTCTTGTCACTCTCTAAACACATAAAGTTAAACTTGTTTTTAGGCTTTGTTTCCTTATGACATGTTTTCAGTTCTTTGGATTTGAAATGTTGTTTCATGATGGAAAAGTCAAAAATTCATGTACATGTCTAGTGGTATATGTTTTGTCATTTGTGAATTTAGTTTAAGGAGGACTACCGCTGGTTTATGATTGTTGGGTAATACCTTCATCTCCCTCTACATATTCACATATATTAGTGGAAATAATGTGATGAATTCATACCAAAGAAGTACCCACATGTCATTTTTTTTAAAAATGTATGTGAGATACTAATATTTTCCGACATGTTTCGACACACGGTCACTTTTTTTTGGACACATTGACTATTTCGACTTGGAGTGAAACTGGGTCGAACCGACCTACAGGGGCCTACGGCTTGACCTACGTCAGGCTAGATCTGACATAGTATATTTTGTAAAATAGACCGGACTTGGGCCTTGAAAAAACTTGTTTAATAAATAGACCGTAGACCCACTTTCACAAGGTCTGACCTATAAGCCTACAGGCCAGCCTATATTATACTATTTATTTTTAAATAAAATAAATTAGAATAAGTATGCCTTGAAAAAAAAACAAAAGATATAAATTTAATAATTTACAATTATTTATAACTTAATTATATTCGATTATATTTTAATATAAATTAGACTTTATTTCTTATGTAGGAGGAACCAACATCTCAGTATGATAGATTGTGTATATGAATATATTAAAAGATTTTTGTGAGAGGTTATACTTACTACAAGCATCATGATGTGTTTGTTGGATTCATGTAGTTATTTTAATTTACATAGTATGGATTTATTTGTTGGATCTCATGAAATATATGTTATTTAGTTTGAGCATTTTGCTTTTGAAAGTGACTTAAATGCAGATTTTGATAAGTTTTGTTGTGATTCATGATTCTGTTTGAACATTAAAATTGTAATTTTTTGTTTAACAACATAATTTGAGTATTTTCTGAAGTTGATTCATGGTTCTGCTTGGAAATTAAAAATTAACAGGCTAACAGGCTAGGCCAGGCCATTTTTTTTTTTTAATAAACGGAACAAGTCAGGCTAACAGTTAGACTCGTACTAGGCTTGAGTCAGGCCAAATTGAAATTTTTTGGCATAGGCTTGGACATTTCGAGGCAAAGCTTGACCAAATCCAGCCCACTTTCACCCCTAATCTCGACACACGATTTTGACCATATCCGACACGGTCAAAGGGTAGAAATGTAAATTTTTTAAAATTTTTATAAAATTAAATAATTATAAAATAAAACATAAAGGTAACCACCACAAAAACTCTTCCCCGCCCCAGACGTCAGGCACTGCTAATCATCCGGTAGCTTCTCAAACTGAAATCCTGGCAGAACAAGATACGAAGGGTCACCAACGACCTCGTCGTATTTATACCCACACGAACAACAAGATCCCAGTATTCAGCACCGCGAATTTCTCTTCTAGTCGACACTTATCCAAGTTTTCAAATTATTGTGAATGTGACGCTGAGTCTGGTTACTCTGACTCTGAAGTGGGTGTGTCTTCTTTTGAGATGTCAACAAAGTTTAGGTGAATTCGCTTGTTTATGGCCATATGTTCCGGTTACTCTCTAAGCTTTAGAGCATGAGATAGAAGCTTATCTACGACTATGGATGATTTTTTGCTATCCGTGCGCTCTTGAACTGACCAATTGAACATCATTATTCAACACCCTTTTTCTTCTATTTGTATTGTGTCTGGATTCTTTTTTTTAATAGCTTGGCCACATCATCTTCTTAAGTGGCTGTTTAGAATTGTTGTCTAGTGCCATTGTGTGGATTTTAAAAATAATAAATTTATTTATGCTTTTCTTTGTTAAAGGAATTCCAAAGAAGTTTTGAGTAAAATAAATATTTTGATTGGTTATATGACTTATTATGAGCTGTTATATGTATTAAATATAAATTATATTATATATATTAAAAATATTATTTAATATCAAAATGTGTCATAACATATCGTAATATGATATTTTTTAGAATTTACATATTGAAGTATCGAGTCGTGTATCGTGTCCCGTATCCTGTATTGGTGCATCATAGATTCACATTATAAAAAAAGAAATTAGAGAGAGAAAAGCAGGAGATACAAATTTATTCTTGTTGGGAGGCAGTTAAAACCTGAAGGCCACCACAAGTGCAAGAGAAGTTTGGAGAATAATCTTAGAGTTCATCCCAAAGAATTTTCAGCTTGGTATAATAGGAATTTACATCAAAAGCCCCTTGATGCAGTGAAGAAATTTGTTGTTTGAGCTGAAAAATGCATGGACCGTTGGCCTGATGGAAGCGAATACGATGATCATCCCATAGGTCATAAGTGGTGAGAAATACATAAGACTATCGGCAATCTCCTTAAAGATAGAGTTAAGAAGCCAGGAGGTTACCATGGAATTACATCTGTTCCAAGCAACAAATAAAAGATCAGAGGACTTGGGACGAATGAGACTTCCATCAATAAAGCACGCCTTATTCTTAGTGGTGAGAGCGATTAACATGACCCTACTCCAGGAATTGAAATTAGGACCAGTAAGGGAATGGGTAACAAATATAAGACCGGGATGATCACCATTTTAGAGATAAAAAGGACTGCCAGGATCCTCCATGGGAGAGGAGAAAAAACTAGTGTTAGAGGTAGAGGATGAAGTGGGTTTGGTGTTTTTGCCCCCTCTAGCCATTGATGAAGAGGATGAGTTTAGAAAAAGTCATCTGATACCATATTAAAATATCAAATTGAAGGAATCCGTAAAAATGAATTTCATTCTCTATCTATATCAGTATGTACAGGGAGTGTTGCTTATATCATCAACAACAAAGAGAGAGAAAATAACAGAAAAATAGTAAAACACGTGAATGGAGCACATGAGCTCATAACAGAAAGTCTATACAGCTATAACAAACTAACAGACTTAAATTATAAAAATATATACTAAAACTCATCATCAAAAAACCCTGAATCCAGTGGTTATGCTAGAGGTTGGTTGAACTTGAAAGTGAAAGAAATTTGTATATGTTGCGAAGGATTCTACCCTAAGACTGAAACCGTGGTCTTATTATGTCTTGATCTAATAACAACAATTCTTCCTATTCTTTTGTGCCCTTTTTCATTGAGTACAGGAAACTTGCAACAATGTTGAAAGAAGATGGGGACATTGACCATTGTGCCACCCCTTTAATAAAAATTTACTTGATTGTCACGTTTGGAATTTTTTTTGCCAAAATGCCACGTCACAATATCGCTGGTCTGACAAGCGGGAATGAACTGGACACGTGTCAGCGTCTGAATGGTCAACCATTCTCGCTAGACTGCCCAGCTAGAATGACAGAATGCTGACACGTGGCAAAAGTACAGACATCCAGAGAATGCATGTACTTTTGCCACGTGCCAGCATTCTGTCATTCTAGTTGGGCAGCCCAGCGAGAATGGTTGACCATTCAGACGCTGACACGTGTCCAGTCCATTCCCGCTTGTCAGACCAGCGGGATCGTGACGTGGCATTTTGGCAATTTTTTTTTCAGACGTGACAATCAGGTAAATTTTTGCCCAAAAAGTGACAATATGGTCATTGTCCCAAAGAAGATGTATATTGTATTTTCCCGAAACCCAACTCTGTAACATTTATTTTTTATCGTGTTTGAAAAGTCAGAAAGGTGGGTTGGAGGTTAGTTTCATAAAATTACCCCATATTTCTAATAATATTTGTCAATCAACTAAATATAAAATCAGGAAACTTGAGCCAATATTTTCAATAATATTTTAGTCCACTAAACATCTTTTTGATAACTTTTTTGGGAAATTAATTTTCTTAGCATATTCATGTGAATTATAATTCCCGGAAACAAATAAATTCCTCCTATACCAAATGCCCCGTAGAAGGTGTGAAATTTCGACCGTGAAAATTCATTCGGAGAATTAAAAAACAAGAGACAATTGGGTCACAAACTAGGATAATTAATTATCAGTGACAATTGCCAAAAATTATTCATGCAAATATCAGTTTTTGTTTTGGACCAAGATCTTAGTTTAATCCGAGTAGACATTCAGGGTCCAGAAGAAGAATTTGCACAAAAGAAAATCTCAGGATTTTATTCCGGATTCTCTTCTCTTAGCACCAGCATAACTTGAGGGATTCATTCAAAAAATAATTAAGTTTATTTTAAATAGAATTCATGGAGATCATCCCCCCAAAATCTCATAGTAACTTTCAATAATCTGTACTTATTTTTTCTTTTTTTGTCAGCATCTTTTTCCATCTTTTCTTATGGAAAAAAACTAATAAAAGGGGTAGTACTATATGGATATTCGTATTGATTTCATTTTTCAAGATTGAGAATGACTCCAGAGGGTTTTAAATGGTTGACTCTGCCAATACACACACATATATATATATACATATACATATATTTGAGCATTAGTGTAATGAAAAATAAAATAGCCAATCAATCATTAATGAAGGTCAAGGATGGAACAAAGACTACACTTTCTGTTGGTATCAGCTCCTATTTAGCTAGCCACTGTTGTGGAGCTCCCTTTGTTTGCCATTTGATGTTTCTCCATCTCATAAACTTGCTGTGTCCTGTATTTGTATCTATGTGCTGAATATATGAAGATGCAGAAATTGATTAAACTCAAAGCTGTGAGAACCCAATAAAAGTAGTCAAACCTGCCAGTGTTTACGTTTTGTGACAACCAAGATTGTTGGTTTTTATCTGGCTTCCCCGTGACAGCTTTGATAATACTGTTTATTATAGTGGCAACAAAACAACCTAATCCACCAGCTAAAGCAGCATAAGCAGACCCTATACTCTTCATGGCATCAGGGGCTTCCTCATATAGGAATTCCAATAAACCAACAATACAAAATACTTCAGCTACACCAATGAGGCAGTACTGGATCAAAAGCCAGTATGCACTTAGGTTTGGCATTGCTGTGAGGAAAATAGCTTCATATCCATGTTGTGTTGCATAGTTTCTTCTATACCTCTCAAATATTGCAGCCCATGCCACAGATAAGATAGAAACTCCCAAGCCAATTCCTACTCTTTGAAGCTGAGATGCACCATGTGGATTACCAGTGATGCGTCTAAAGAGGGGGACAAAAATGGAGTAGTAGAGAGACAATATAAGAAATATGCTAAGGCCTGGGAACACAGGCATGCATGTTACTGGAAGTTTCAAATGACCTAAATGAGTGTTCAAAGTATATGCCTGCTGAACTGAGAGAGTGAGAAACTCAGTCAAGACCACGTTAAGCATGATTGTGCAAGCTGGTATGGGAATAAGTTTCAAAAGAATCTTGACCTCCTCTACTTGAGTCACAGTACAAAGCCTCCAAGGATTTGGATTAGCACCATCTTCTTTCAATTGCAGAGCTGCCTTGTCAAGAAACCTGATATAGGTATATATATAAAAAAATCTCACAAATGGTGCTTTAATTTGACATAATAATGTGAGAAAGGGAAACATTTTTCTTGTTGATTGAAAAGTAAAATAATTTGTCAAAATAATATGGTGAAACACTTATGGATGTGTGCATAAGTATCGAATCATCCCATGTGCGTTCAAGTCGCACACACCCTCCATGCGTGTCTTGCAGAGCGCGATACGTGACAGACGCGTGTTGACTTTTACACAAATCACGTATGAAAGTGATGCCTGACTTGAACAGGCACACCTTATTCACATCTCACCACATTGTTTGGCTTTTGAATTATCCCTTTTAGTATTAAATATGTCAAAAAGCCCAGAAATGGGAATAAATTCAACTGTGGAAACTGGAGATAATGGCTCTTACCTGAAATCATCAGTGTGAGCTATTTTTTGACTTCCCTTTATAGCAGAATGTCTGCCAGGAACCTCATACAACCCTATGAAGTCACTGCTAACAAATGGAGTGTTTCTCTTTCGAAATGCAGCAACCAAGACTTGAGCAACCCGAGTAAGAGGGCTACCTCCTGGCAACCTATGCCTGTATAAGGGAGTGCCCATGAAGAACACCATGTTAGATATTCCCATTGCAATTGCTAATGACCCAAATGCAGATCCCCATCCATATTTCATTTGGACATAGACTACTGCGGTGAATGCCACAATAGCCCCAATAGTCACAGAAAGGTAGAACAAGTTGAAAAATCTATCAAGATGGGACTTGTAATTTTTGCTTCTTTCATCAAATTGGTCAGCTCCAAAAGATGACACACAGGGCCTTATACCTGCAGCTCCAAACGCGGTAATGTAAAGAACCGTGTAGAGGTAAGTCATCTGCCACGGTTTTGCAGGCTCACAGTGACCCAAAAGCAGAGATAATTGGTCACACTCATCTTGGTTGGGAACAAAAATGCTCATTGTTGCACATAATGTTATTCCTGTTAAACCCTGTTTATAAAAATTGTCATGAAAGAAACGAATTTATGCTTGTCTTGTATTGTCATCAATATACATAACCATAGCAATATTATCCCAAAAACATATGTACTACACATGCTGTGATACATTTACATAGAGAGAGGGAACCATACCGCAAGATAGATTGTAGTGAAGATTGCTATTGTCCAGTAGCGTCCAAGATATGCATCTGCTAGAAAACCACCAAGCACGGATGAAGCTTGTGATATCCCCAAGAAATTGTTGACTGCGTTGGATGAACTTGTAAAAGGTCTATGCATCACATAAAACATAAAGGCCACCATGTTAACCGAAAGGCCAAAATAAGCCATTCTTTCTGCCATTTCATTTCCTACAACCACAGGAAGATACAAACTAGTTAATATTGTGTTCTTGTTCAACAAAATATGTGTCTTACATAAAAAGAGATAATCTAAATTAATTAATTAATCAAAATAAGATAAAATGGAAATGGAAATATATATATATATATATATATATATATATATATATATATATATATATATATATATATATGTATAGTGAAGATGGATTGTGTTGTGTATACCAAATATAAAGAAAGCAGCAATCCAACCACCAGTTTTTGAAAGATCAACAATGGATTTGCCATGGATATCAACTGGTGTGGATCCTGCTGTGTAGCCACGACCAAATGCCATCCTTCTATCCTCAGACTCAAGGAAAAAAATGCCAAGCTTCTTTCTGCTTATTGAAGTGCATGATGGTGTCCCCTCTTGTTGTGGTTGTGGGACTTCTGGTGACTTGATCTCTGAGGTATCCATTCACTCTTCTTACACACAACAAATGCTAGTTAGCCAGCACCAAATTCAACTTTCAGTTTTACAACACAAATAACATTATTGAAAGGGTCATGGATTCAGCTCTTCAGTGATGAAATATTATCAGCAATAGTAAGATTGGAAGACTAAGCATTCTGAAATGGACAATAAAACCACCAACTTCTACTTATGGATGTGATAAGGGCCTAATTAATTCTTCTCAAAGGTGAGGGTCCCTACACTCCCATATAGTGGAACTATTTTGTCAGAGTGTGACAGATAACTGAGATAAGTGGGAACTAAGTGACTTTTCGATTTATGTATGAAGGAATTGTTAGCACTAGATCTTTTCGATACAGTTAGGGAAAGGGACCATAATTAAAGGAAGGTTCAACTAACACGTGAAGATCCGTGGAAAACAGCCATGTTCAATTAATGTTAGTACAACATAAGTGGAAGCCATTGATGACAATGCATTTATGGTCCACCTGCTGAGGAGGCTGGAGCCATTGCTGTCATTGATTGTTTATGCAAGATTTTTGGGTTGGCTCAGCATGAAAATATGGATGCGCACTTAAATTTCTTTCTCGATTCGGAGGTTGGAGATTTGACATTTGTTGCTTGAATTTTATGCCTTTTTATTATTATTATTATTATTATTATTATGCTTCAACGATTGGATTGAATTTTACCACAAGTCCATAAATAATTTAACCTTTCACTTATCTCAATGGGCGATACTAACATACGTCAAGTGCAATATTCTTGGTCTGCATAAATTTTTCATTTGTACTCATGGCTGCATCTAAGTTAAAAAAATAAAGACTTCATATGGAAAACATGAATAACTCTGTAAGTTTTTCTGAACATAAATGTAGCACTAATATTACTAAAGGATCACATGATGGATTCTTTGATTTCCATTACAATAGGGACATAAAGGGCTAGGGTATCTTTACCTATGATTTTAAGAGCCAAATCTGGTATCTAAAATAACCAAGTACGGACATTTGTGCAAACCATTTTTTCTTCCTCTATTATTTTACTTTGATCTTCAATCTCTAGATGAAACAAACTTTCACGGGTGTTCTAGGGCCCCACAGGCGTTATAAGGCTTTACGGCTCTAAAGTGCCTCAAGTAGAAATACATCTGACCCTCCTATTGAGAGATTTAGATTGAAATGACACAAGTTTTCCTCTTCCGAAACTTACATATATCAGAAGAAATTCAGTAATAAGCATTTAATAAAATTATCTATAAAATAATGAACCAATCCCCGAGTTTTTCACCTACATTTTTTCAAATTGATCATAAAATGCAGCACCTGAGAAGGTATGAGAATGGTGTGAGAAACTTGCTGCCGTTATACTTGAAAGCATTTGTATGTTTTATATGCTTTAGATAGAATTGAAACATTTTTTTAAGTGAGACTAATCAATCCGTTGTGTGTTTTGAGAATCCTGCTAGTCTTGCTTGTTGCTTCTATTTGACAGATTTTGTTCGCTTGAAGTGACAGGCATGAATATACCCGTAACAATAATGACATCAAAACTGTGGAAGGTGGTTATTTCCTCTTAACATAAATGACATCATACACAACAATAATATCGAAAACCGCACACATGATACAGGGAAAGAAACAAACGCTTTACCAGAAGCGGACAATTTCTAATTTATACTGTATCACTATCGCCTAAATGATTCCGCGAAGCACATTTACAGCAGCACACAACGCACAGCCACTGCCTTTTATTAATCCATAAACGGCTTCATACATACCATCACAAACCTTAACGTTGACACTTCACAAGTTGACCAACTTAAGAGAGTTTGCCTTCTCTTGAAGGGAATCCAGTAGGCTTTCAAAGCTCTTCTTAAATGAATCCACTCCTTCAAGTTCAAGCTGGGAACCAACAAAGCTCCAGTCAATGCCCAATTTCTGGAGAGCATTGTATATCCCTTCAGCTTCCGATGCATTTGAATCTATTGTCCTGGATACAGTACCATGATCGATAAATGCTTGAAGGGCTTGGTCTGGCATGGTTGATACCTGGGAAGTAAGAAGATAATGCAATGAGATACAACAAAGATAAGTCAACTTCAAAAATCAAGGAACTTTGATTTCCAAGTTTGTCAAAAACAATCAAGGCCAAACCAAAAGCTCTTTAAAGCCAGTATTGGCATCAGATCAATTCCATGATAACTACAAGCAGATAGACGATGTGGAAAATAAGATGGTTTACAGTGTCAGGTCCAATGAGAGGAGCAACATATAAGGTGTCCGGATAGGCTGGATTCTTGACACTGGTTGAGGCCCAGAGGAGCCTTTGCTTCTTGGCCCCTTTTTTGGCGAGAGCTTCCCACCTTGGACCAGAAAATTTCTTTTGGTAGAGCTGGTAAGCCAGGGCTGCTTGGGCTACTGCTGCCTATAAAATTCAATGTGCCATGACATTAGCATATTTGATATCCAGAGGTGTAAAAAAATAAATCCGAAGACAAGAATTGGCAATTCAGCAAAGAAGAAGCAGTTACCTTCCCACGTAGATTAAGGGCCTCTGGGGTGCCAATTTTCTCAAGGATCTTGTCAATGAGAGTGTCCACTCGACTGACAAAGAAAGAGGCAACACTTGTGATTCTAGAGAGATCATTTAGCCCAGAAGCCTCAAGACCATCCAAGTATGCATCAATTACAGCTTCATATCTTGCAAGAGAGAATATAAGCTGTGGATACAAATACCAGAAACATATATTTATAATCCATCACATAGTAAAAGATATCAAAACAGATGGACACTCATCAAGACAGATTACTAAGAGATTTTCAACTTCCTTCTAGAAACTTCCTCACTTCTAACCAGTATGAGGTTAAAATAACAGTAAAATTCATTATTTTTGTGTTGACAATATCTAGGATTACTTATCCAGTACCCAACAACCCAACATAGAATACTGTACCATAACACTATATGATACTAATTTATTTAATTTGCAGACTATACGAAAAGATGTAGCACAAACTTACAGTCACATTCACACTTATCCCATTAGCAATGACTTCCTTAATTGAAGGGACACATGCAGCTGTAGCTGGAATCTTAATATACACGTTAGGGCGAGCAACCACTTTATGAAGCCATTTTGCAGCTTCTATGGTCCCCTCGGTATCATCAGCGAGCCTGGGAGATACTTCAACTGAAACATAGCCATCAGCGCCATCTGTTTGATCATAGATTGGTTCAAACAGTTTGCAAGCATCCTGAATGTCCTTCACTACGAGTTCCCAATATGCACTTTCAATGTCTTTCCCTGCTTGCACAAGTTCCCTGCATGATTGAGTAATATTGCTTCAGCTATAAGAGCAGGAAAGGAAACAGCTAGAGCTATATTGCAATAAACTACAAAGAATAGCACATCCATAAGACCAAAAAACACATTTTCCTTCGTTTACATCTTTTTCCGTGTAATAACAGTATCCATTTAGCACTGCAGCAAACACAACAGTACACTTAAGGCAGTGGAGAGCTGCCCCTCCCATGAAAAATAGGAACTGGGGAGCATTACATTAGTATAGTTTACTAAACTAAACATACTTTATGAAGAGACTGACACAACTACAAGTAATACATTGAATATACACACTATAGATAGACAAGCATGATCAGTGTTCATGACTCCATGGTTAAGTTCACCGTCCACCACACTGCAGTTCAAGTTTACAAGAAAAAATTTCAGTATTAGTAAAAGATATCGACGGTACCTGAACTGATCATTGTAAGCATTTGAAGACGAGATAGCTTTTTGAAAGATCTACAATCATGTATATAGACAGCGGATTAGAGTAGCAAAATCCAATAATAAAGAAAGCAAGAAATTACAACTCACAAGAAATGTTTGGAACATGTAATCTGTATTGATTTCTGTATCATTAAAATTATTATTACCGCAGGGTTGCTAGTGACGCCTCTGACACCACTAGCTATAAGAGGAAGCAGATCCGTAACAGGTCGGCAAAGATTATCATACCAAGGACTCTGCCCTTCTTTCTCATAAAGATCATGAAGTACTGTCCTCTTCGCAGGACTTCCATTACCACCAGCTTGGGAGCATCTAATCCTGCATGAACACAATCAACAATCAAAGAATTTTATCCTATAAGAGCTGTTTGGGAAACAAAAACAAAAGCCTCGTATCATTCATCAGTCAAATAACCGGAGCTATTTTACTATATATTTTTAAATTTGTGGTTCACCATGTTGGTTGTCAAAATATATATATACTGAATTTTAAAATAACTATACAGTTAGGGGAAAGTTATATGGGGAAGGATATTGTAACATCAACCAAGTTATGTTACTACCAATCAATCTCACCGTTAGATCGATTATGTTGATTCAACGGTTATATTTATTTACATCTTTGTATGGTCATGATTTCTCAAATTTAATACTTTATATCTATTTCCACCTTATGGTTATGATTTCTCATATTTAATGCTTTCGCTTTAATTATGAGGAATCATAACCATATAAAGATGGAAATAAATATAACCGTTGGATCAACATAATCAATTTAACGGTGAAATTGATTGGTAGTAACATGGTAGTAACACTGGTTGTTACAATATCCTTCACCAAGTTATATTCACAAACTTTTTGATTACAAACTCTTACAAACTATACTAAATATGACAGGTCATACTTTAATCAAGAATGTATGACCGGTAATAGTATAATTTGTAAAAAAAATGTGTAGTCAGATCCATCCCCCGTATATTTATAATTTCAATTTATATCCATAGTCTCATGATATGTTGGCACGAACAAGATTTATAAAAAGCAAAAGTTATACTTAACTTGTTCTAATGTGCAGAATTTCTAACTTGTATTATATTTTCGACCTACTAACTTTCCGCTACTCAAGTCGCAACCAACCAAACACGGCCTTACAAGACTCTTCGATAGTTACGATGATCATCGCAGTTCTTTTCATCTTCGGGAAAATAAATAAATAAATAAAAATAACTAACAGATTACATATATATAATAAGTCTTGCATATGATGTGAGAGATGATGTAAAATTGATTGAGATCACAAACGAAATATGCATGAATCATGATCTGGAAGAAGGTAAAAGAAAGAAAGAAAGTAAAAAACAAGTTATAAGTGCGATCAGATAAAAACTTACAGCGAAGAGGTTTTAAGAGGACGGGAGTGATGGATTCGCAGGGATGCAGAAAGGTTGGTTTTGAGATTGGTGGCACAAGGTTGGAAAGCGAGGAAGCACTTCTGAGAAGAAGATCTGGGGCGAAGCGCTTCTGATAAGGACACAGCTGGATTCGGCGTTGAGAGTTTCGAAACGGAAGCCATTGAAAATTGCAAGTCACAAAGGTGTTGGTGTGAGTGAAACTGTGTTGTGTTGTGGGGGATGTGATGATGCCATTTATTAGTAATATATTATATTATTTTAGTTTATAAGAGAGAGTTGGTAGAGAGAAAGTTGGTGCAGTGAACAGACACAGTGCACCTTTTCCATTGACCCAAAAGCCAGAGTCAGGGGTAACACTATACGGGATGCCATAGGGGTAATACAGGAAAATCACCGTTCTATTCGCAGCCTAGCCGCCATGTACTGTGCGTAATTGCTTACACAATGATTTTCGTTTCATGATTTAAAATAGGATTCGCCTTATCCGGTCCAGATAAATTATTGAGTTGATGTTTTTTTTTTTTTCGTACATTGTCAGGAGGTATCTCTGTTCAACCTTTTTCGGGCACCATGTCATTGGGGTACGGTCTGTTTGGGCTAGTTCCTCGTTGTAACAGTGGGTGCACTAAGCTTCGCAACCAGAAAAAGGACGAGACTAATCCCCTAACCGCTTATCCTCTGGTCCCAAAATTTTTCCAAGAAACTGCTTGAGGCAGGATTTGATAAGCAATCCCTTGGGAGCTCAGCTGCCAACTGAGCTACCCTTGGGAGTTTGGGTTGATGTTTTTTTAAGTTGCATGAAAATATGAAAGAACAAAAGTAGAAACAAATTAAGCGTGGATTATATATTTTATGGGATTTAAGTTTCTCCTTTAACATAAGAATAATCATTCCTACACTAACATCGAATCTTGTGCCAAATCTTTATACTTTTATATTTTTTTTCAAAACTGGTGGGACCCATCAATTATGTTTCACTCACATGAGATATCAATTCTCCTTTTAAAGAAGAAATGTTTAACCCATATTTTATATTATAAAAAGAAAAAAATTAATTGACACGAAAAATAAATTTGTGTAAGAAATTTTTTTGCTTTCTTATTGCATGAAAGTATAATTTCCCTAAATTATTACCGTTCTAAAAAAATTTGGGTGAATAAAATAAGAGTTTAAATTTGGTGATTTAACAGTTACGGTGATTTAACTCACAAATTAAGAGTTTAAATTTGGGTACTTGGGATCCATTTGGGTGATTTAACTCTAAATTATATTAACTCATTATTTCTAATTCATTTAAACTGAATAAATTACAAGTAGCCAAATTTAGTTAACTACAAGAACTCAATATATTGTGATTTAATTTTGAGGCATTTTAAGTAGCAAAATACTTGTATTGTATCACAAACATAACTGAAGTGAGTTGAAAGTTGTAACCATAGTTTTTGAGCATTATCTAAACATTGGTGCAGGCTCCACTCACCACAGTTACGGTTATGGCTTCAATTTTGTCCCTATCTATTGCTTCTCTTTCCTTCCACAAAGCTCAATCTCAATCTCAATCTCAATCTCTGGTGCGCGCTATTTCTACTTTCATTTTCCTTATTCTATTGCTACACTCATCTAATCCAAACACCAATGCTTTGTGAGTGATTCCTTTCAGGATTCCGAGAAAATTCCCGATTCTTCTTTCTCCGGTGCGTCAATGCTTTTTAATTCTCGAATGATTCAATTTTCTTTCTTATTTCTTATATGTCAACACCACTTTCAGGCAAAAGCAGCGGTGGTTCTTGTTTTGAGCGAAGAAAGATGGTTCTCTCTTCCGTCGGCATCATTGCCGGAACATTGTGCAACAATTCAAATCGTGGAATTGCTTTGGCAAATGAGTATGCTGACAGTAATTCTCTATGAAACTTTTCAACTTTTTTGTTTTGTTAACTTTACCCAATTTGTTGTGACAACTGAATTTGCATTTATAGATATTGTTGCATTAACTTAGGAGAATATAAAACATTGTCTATAGAAGAAGGCCATGTATTTGTGTATTTGTGTTTAGAAGGAAGATATCGGTTGTGTTATGTATGCGGTTATAAAGTGATGCAGTTGTGTTTGTGTCTTTAGTGAAGATGACATCTAGGCTGCTTCCTTATATTTTGTGATCATAAATCTGACACTGTTGAGCCTAATAGTATTAAAGAAAGTATTAAATAAGAAAAAGCATAACTACAAAGACTTGCAATGTGCACAATTTGTTGCATGCAGTGCCAGCCCTTAGAGGGAAGGATTATGGCAAGACAAAAATGCGATACCCAGACTACACAGAAACCGAATCAGGACTCCAATATAAGGTGATGCAGTACGCTGCAAATACTTTGTGGTTAGTCATGCTTTTTTTCTTAATTACTTATATACATCAAGAATGCAGGATTTGCGACCCGGAAGTGGCCCCAAACCCAAGAAGGGAGAGACTGTAGTGGTAAGGCACTGAATCGTTTGTTTTTTTGGTCTATTCTTAGAAGTCTAACATAGCCAATTATATTTGGAAATAGAGGTTCTGAATCAAAATGAAAACATTCTCTGGCTCAAATTTTCTTTTGTGATCTAGAATAATGGAATCTAGATAGCAAATTTTTTTGGTTCTCTGGAATGATTTTGGATGGGATAGCTTTTGGACAGATTTGACAACTTAAATGAAGGAAATTAGAGTAGCCTGTATTTCTCCAACTGGACTATTTCTGGACACTATTGTTCTCCTTTCAAATCAGATAACTGAAGCAACTTTTGGCTTCAAATTCCATTCAGGTAGATTGGGATGGCTACACCATAGGTTATTATGGCCGTATATTTGAAGCCCGGAATAAAACGAAAGGTGGTTCCTTTGAGGTATTAAATGCTTTGCATCTCCTAAATGGACACTGTGGAAGTGATTGATTATTACAACACACCTGTTGTGCTGTTTTTCTAACATGCAGGGTGATGACAAGGATTTTTTCAAATTCAAAATAGGATCTCAAGAGGTGAGAGACCTCATCATTTAATGATTAATGTAGTTTCTTGCAACTTGAATAGGATCTTTGTTATAGGTTGTGAACACTACTTCATGAACAATGTTTACATTGTTTGCTGCTGTGTGTGGAAACAAGTGATGCAGGATGCACTAAGGTAAAAAAAGCATAAGTTCAAAAATCAAAACTGAAGGTCCTACTAGGTCATAATTATTTCGGGTTACTAGGATTAAAATGCTATTTCTTTTGTTAATTAATTATATATTTTATGTCCTTGGGGTATTTTAGTAATTTTGTATTTCCAGAAATGGAAAAGGGATTTTAGGGTTTTCTCCCCTGGTAACTGATACCCTGTACAAGATGAAGGATCTACAGGGAAACCCCTTTGTACAAATAAGTGTCGGTCCTTTGTGTTGCTGTTTTATTCTTTAATGCATGTGCTACTCTTGGTCGACATATTGTGTGATAGCATTGTTTGGTTCCACTCCTATAACAAAATTATAAGTGATACAGCATGCTTTTTTTGGGTTAAACCACGAGGTGTCCCCACACCCTTTGGGTCTGGGACTAAACTCTACTTGAACATCGGCTTTGCCCTGGCCACAAGGTGCTTCCTTTGGTGTGATACACATTTTTTTGTGATACTTGTCTTTAACTGAATTCATCACAACTGCTAGTTCACTAATATTAGTCCACTTGAGGAAAAAGGAAAGGTACTAGAATTACATTCGAGAGAAACTAGGAGTTTCTTCAAGAATCTTGCCAAAAAGGAACTTGCAAAAATGTTTAGTTCAGTAAACTTGTACTATTTGTGATACTTCCTTTTGACTTAATTCTTCACAACTCTTAAGATAAGGATATTTAGAGTGGACAAAATTAAAGAAACAATCACAAAGCCTTATTCCCACTATGTGGGGTTGACTAATGGATTCTAGCAAGCCATTGAACTAGTTCTTGTATCATATATTTATGAAGCCCCATGTACCCAAATCCTTCTTATTAGTTTCCCTTTCCCACCATGCCTTTTTTTGGTGTCACTCTGCCTCTTTTAAGGGGCATCATGTGTTATTTCACTTCTTGTCAAGTGAATTTGTAGTGCATCTTCTTACTTGTCCAAATCATCTGAAACAGTTTTTCATTAGGAGCCAATCCAACCTTCTTCCCAGTGATCTCATTCCTAATCTTATCCATCTTGGTATGCCCACCCACTCATTGCAATATCTTTTTTTTTTCCTTTTTTTTGTGATATTCATCTTTTGCTTATTATTGTTGTTCACCGTCAAGCATTTATATGCACTCTACAATCACACAAAATATTCTCCACTTCATCCATCCTGCTTGGATATGATGTGTGCAATCTATCCTTCTGTCATTTTGTAGGAGAAACAGTAAGAAAAAGTAGAAAAAAGGGAAAAAATTGCTTTCAGAATTAGAGAGAGAGAGAGAAAGAGAGAGCCAAAAATGAAATTTAAATAAGAAGCTCATATAACGTAGTTACATTACCAAAGAAACTCAAATACGAATATTATCATTTTAAGTTTTTTTAAGGTTGAAAAGTTGGAACAATATGTCCTTGATTGCCTTGAAATACTTCTTAGTTATATCCCCTACATCACGCTTCTAGTTGTAATGCTTCACTGTTAAATTGCCAATGGACATTACTGTTGGATACTATAACTTATTAAGCACTCAATTGTGGCTTAATTTCTGGGTCTATGATACTTGCTTTTTAGTTAAATCTACGCAAGTGGAGGCTCTGAAGACTGATCTGTTACGTACTTTGAGTGTTCAGGTAATACCAGCTTTTGAAGAGGCTGTTTCTGGCATGGCTCTTGGGGGAATTAGAAGGTGCTGCGTCTATATTTCAAGAAACATTCATCTCATACTCTTACTGAATTGTTATGGGCTAGTTTTTTTGTGCCTTCACAAACGCCTGAACTTTGTGTGTTTTGAGAAGAGTAGTATTTTGAATAACATGTTGTTGGAATATCTCGCCAACAATTGGCGTGCTTTATTTTATTGAACCGCAACTTCTATCAATTCAAACTCTGGATTTGGAAGAATTCTCAACACCCTGACTTTCCTGGGTTCAAATTGTAAATCACTAGGCATATTTAGTTCAGGATCTTCTGTTTAAATCTTGTAATCCCTAAAAAATTTGAATATGGTTTTAAACTTAGAAAAATGTATTTTGGGTTCATATACTCCAGAAAAAATACGGGGAGAGAAATGCAAATTTCACTATGTTTGTCAGTGATGCAGGATAGTTGTGCCCCCAGAACTTGGATATCCTGAGAATGATTTCAATAAGAGTGGCCCAAGGCCAACAACATTCTCGGTAAGAGTCAAGTGTATTTTTATCAGTCACTTTCCGAATGGATTCTGAGGAAGATGCAATGCAATTATGTTTTTCAGGGCCAACGAGCCTTGGATTTTGTGCTAAGGAACCAAGGGTTGATAGACAAGACTCTCTTGTTTGATATTGAGCTGTTGAAGATTGTTCCTAACTGATTTGTCAAATTCTGTATTGACTCCGGAATATCACCGTCAGAATATTAAGGTGAGTTTCTCTGTCATCACTCATCAGTATTTTCCGTAGTATATGTTGGGCATTATAAAAATGAATTTAAAAGCAGGAAAACCAGTGAACTAATGAAAACTGTATTATTTTGTCCAGAGTTGCATTTTCAAGGCTTGTTGGAATACAAAACACAAGAAAAGGATATTTAAATGACTGAATGTAACATTAAGCCCCCAGCCTTATGAAAGGCCTACCCGAAAACCCAGAACTTCTCTTCACAATTTTTCCCTAACCCGTTTTACTCCTTCACTGCCTTTTAAAAGCTTTCCCCTCCCATTCTGCCTTTTGGTCTTCTCTTCCTCTTTCCTCCAACTCAGTAGTCTCATAATTGCAAGATTGGTCTGCAATTGATTCTTTGTTAGTCCCCATGTCATTAATGGATCTTTCATTCCCCTTGTTATCCCTCCTAGTGCCATGCTTCAAATTTTCTAGAATAAGTAATAGGCCTAACAATATAACTTGCGGGTATTTTCTAATTTAAATTTGTTCTCGGTGCTGAAAGATGATCATCTGTCTTACAATCAGTTTGTTGAACAGCAATCTTAAAGATATGAAGTATAATATTGCGAGCAGCTAGAGCTACAGTTGACTTTAAATTTTTAATGCCTTCTCATTGTATTCACTAACATGTTTTTTGGTTGTAGGCCTTCCTACTTGCAGAGGATAGGAGGATCCATGTCCAGTCCTATGGTCATTTTGTTAACATTGATATTTGATGCTTGCTGACTGAAATATTTGTGGCCCGAAAAATATATACTACGAGTTGTATGTATATTGTAGTCTTGTTCGTTGTTGGTTTCTACAGTAATAACATTTAGTGCAACATTAAAAGAAATTCTCCCTCACCTCCAAAAGAAAAAAGAAATTCTCCCTCAACTATTGCAAACTTGGATTTACTGTGTACATGGGAAGGAACATCATATAATCAATTAGAAATTAGTTATACTAATGGTTAGCAGAAAAGGATACTGTTACTGCAACGTAACAGCTGTTGTGGTTTATACCATGGGTGGTTTTGCTGCAGATAGAGCGTTTCCATCACATCACTTTTATTCTTCCTTAGATCATTTTCCATGTCAACTTCAATACTTTCAAAAGCCGCAATCCTTACCATAATATGAGAACTGAACAACTAGCTAGAATTCACTGAAACTGGGATAATTTCCAATTACAAACGGAGCTTCAAGTTAAAACAACAGTGCTATCAGCAACTTTCTGGTTCCCCATTTTTCTTCTCTGAATTAGACATTTCATAAAAAAAATAAAGTCCTGAGAAACACAAACATTTTTCCTCTTAATTAACAGAAAATCCTTGCGCTTATATCTAATCATTACTTTTCCTTTCACGCTAACCGTGGCATTCCCTTCAACCTCGGGAAAAGGTGATACCAACTCCACCTTATAAGAGTTCAAATAGATACACAGGAGTTTTTTTTAACAGAAAGCTAACAGGATTTAAATGGATGGATAAAATATTTTCATCCATTATTTTACAAATAATACAAAAAATTTACAGCCACCCTTCATTTTTTCTTTTTTCTTTTTTCATGAAACGTATGTACACATGTAGTGAGTGACCCTATCATTTCTGTAAATGCAAGGCAGCCTGTAAGTAAAAACAGGTGAAGTAATTCTGTGATTTGCAGGTGAAGAAAATGAAGTGCTTCATAAGCCAATAAAAGAGGAACTTAATAATCTTAAGTTGTTGGAGATATTTTGTGTCATGTCATAGACATAAATATGTGAGTTTTTTTAATTTTTTTTTAATTTTTTGATAAAAAGTGGATGTCACATATTTATTTCTATGATATAAGATAAAATATTTTCAATAAAATAAGAAAAATTTTCCCATCAAAATATGGGAAAGGAATAAAGGAAAATTGGACCGCAAGATTCAAACTTATTTGACCAAATTGTACCTGTTGCTTGTATTTAAGTGGGAGACGTCAACGCTTTTTGTTAGATCAATTTATGTCAACGTCCATCTTAGGACTTTATATTTCAAGGAGGGAAAATATTTTCGGTGCTATAAATGTAGCTATCACTTCATATATTTTTTATCAAATATAAAAAAAAGTAATATATTTATATTGTAAAGGATATATTTACTGCTAAAAAAGTTTATCACTTTTACAACCAACTTAATCACCATTGATTTTCGTCAATCTAACGATTATAATTTATTGGAAATTATTAGGTCACATTTATTAATTAAGTATTAGTTTCCAATAAATTATAACTGTTAGATTAACGAAAATCAACGGTAATTAAGTTGGTCGTAGATGATAAATTTTTTTTGTGATAAATATATTCTGTCCTTATTTATATTAATTTTATTTTATAATTATTTTTTTTATATATTTTTTTTCTTTTAATAAGGAAGTATTTGTATTCCGTTGCACTGAAAACGTACTTTCGTGAAGAGTGCGAATTTCCATCACAATGACAAAGATGATCCGCAAAGAGGGACGCAGGTTGCAGTGGCGAGCCTCTTCGATAAATTGGAAGTGGCAAGACGAGATTGCCTTGATATTTTCAATTCAGCCACAACTTTATCACGCTTCGTGCTAGGATTAGACAAAGTCTAGACTCTAGAGTCCAACTTATGACAGAAAGGTAACCATCTAACATCATCCCGTGTCACCCACACGGAATTTTATTCTATGGTCCATGTCCGTTTTTTTTCTTCTTCTTCCTCTCTTTTCTCTATCTCTCTCTACTTTTTTTTATCTTGAAAGATCAACGAGCCTGGAGCGCTACATTTTCACTTCACCCACATATCACTTCCAACTTTTCCCACCCATCCATGGGAATGGTTCTTTGGCCGATTTGATAAAGAAAAAAGAAAAAAATTATCTGAGAATCACACTTTTTTAAAAAATGGCAGAAAAATAAATTATTTAAAAATATTATCAAAAAATTATTTGATAGGTTATATATTTACGAGAATATTAAATTAATTTTCTTGATATTATATTTGATTAATTATAAAATATTAATGAGAATGTAAATTGAGGTTAATTATGTCTCAAAAAAATTATCAAATAATCTCATCACAAATAAATGGGAATCAACGATCAGGGTTACTAGCTCGACGTCAAGCAACTTGAGAAATAAGTTCATATATATATATATATATATATATATATATATAAACATAATCATTTGATACCGATGTCAAACTTTGAAATTTAACACTAAATCCTAACTGTTAATTTATGTCAATGAAATATATATATATATATATATATATATATATATATATAATTAGGGAAAAACTATTTTTATATTACATAAGATATATTTTCTCGCCTACACACCCTTTGATAAATGTGCCACCTTTTTTTTCTTTTCTTTTCTTTTTTCAAGTGATGGAGCCCACAAATTTATCTCTATGACATGAGATAACTATCTCCTTTAACATGAGATCAATAAAACCCATATAATTAATAGCTGTTTGGTGATTATATAAAGTTATTGATAGGGTTTTGAAGAAGGAAAAATGAAATAATTTAGTATTAGAATGAATTGTTAGGGTAAAATTTTTATTAGGATGATAAAATTGATAAATACAAATTTACAATAAAGGTGAAATTAAAAAATATGTAATATATTTCTAAAAAGTTAGTATATATCTTTAAAAAGCTTCTCTTACAAGCTTTCAACTCTTGCTTTTTTTATTCATTATGACAAAATAACAGCTTTTGTAAAAACATATTTAACTAATTTTTTGTTTATAAGAAAAATATAAACTAAAAATAAAAATAAACTTTTCAAACACCAATAAAGAGGCTTGAAAGAGCTTGTGTAGGCAGTGTTATTAAACCCGACTCAGGTATTGACCCGATCGGAGTACTGAATTACTGGTTGGACCGGTGAGTTACTGATCGGATCGATTGACCCGGATATTTATAGAAATATAAAAATATATAAAAATATGAATATATAAATTTAATTATATTTTTCATATCTAAAATAAATTAAACAAGGTTCATTAAATAAGCTCAAAAACAATAAACATAAATAAATAAAAAATGCATGCTATTATTATGTCAATTTAAATTGCAACTCAGAATTCCCATAAACATATCTCTCAATGACATTGAACTCATATTTTTAAATTCAACTACATTAAAAACTACATATGTCACCTTCTCTTAATTTATTATTCCGAAATTGCTTCAGTATTGAAAGCTGAAATTTGAGATTATTGTAGAAGAGTATACTAGTAAATAAAGTTACAAAATATTTTTAAAATGAGTTCTGCATATTTTTTTTGACAAGATGAAACAATTTTGGTTTTTTGATTTTTTTATTTTAAGTCACTAATTTTGATCGAGTTTGACCGGATTTTGATCGAGTTTGACCAGATTGATGTATGACCGATTCAATACTTGATCTGAATCGATCTGATGACTAATTCACCGAATTTTAGATCGATCTGACCGGATCAAGCCGAATTTTACAACTACGTGGGTAGGTATGAGAAAGCACACCATCACAATTATTAACATATATTATCGTACTTATATGCTCAGTTAGCAGCAACTATACTAATGTCTCGTCCTTCTACTTCCACCCAAATCATTTTCTCGTTGACAGTTGAAATACATAGCAGCAACTGGCAATCCAAGATTATAAATCGCAGCAAAATCTCTTGTGTTGAAATTTTGGCGCCATCCTGGAGCATGTACAGTTTGTCTGCCCAACTGTCGAAACAACACAAAAACAATACGATGAATCCCTGCTGCTGGTCGTGGACTTTCATAGCTCACAATCTCTTCTCCTGTAAAATACGTTAGCATTACAGATAAAATAAAATATTTAATTTATAAGACTGTAAGACATGTATTATATAGCATCCACACGTATTATATAGCATCATACAACATGATACAATCACTTTTTCTACACACATAATATTTTGTGAAGTCCGTATTTTTTGAAGCAAAAAAAAAAAAAAAAAACTAAGGCACAAAAAATGAATCTCTATAACATGACACAATCACTTTTCCTATATCATAACTTTTATAAAACCCATTTTATAATTTGCTTAATCTAAATATTTACCTTTGTCAATATAATTTTTTAAAATTAACTAATTATTATGTAATTATTAAAATAAATAATTGCATAATAAAATGAAATAAGGTGTTTTATTTAACAACAACAACAACAATGGATGACTGCTTACTCACTCACATGAATAATCTCTAGTTAAACAACTATCTCATAGTTAACAATTAGATTACATTTTTTATCATTTGAATCATGCACACAAAATATAAATTAATTATTCTATTAATTTTTTTGTACTATTTATTAAGCTCAAATTAATTATTAATAAAAAATTATTTGCATTCCATTAAATGTTTTAAAATTAATTTAAACTATGACTTTAAGAAAATAAAAATTAAATTTCATCCATTCAATGATATATTTAGTATTATTTATAATTTTTATTAAAATTTTAAATAATAACTATATACTATTAAAAATGTTAACCTAATTAAATTATTTTTAATAAAATTTTATAACTCAGCTATGATAAAATTTAATAAGTTTATAATTCATCTATTTTTACTAAATTGTATATCTTATCATATAATTAATTCATAAATGGAAAGACAAATTATAATTTTGGCATTTCTTTGTTCTTGTTTTGAAATTCTTAAATAAGCAAAAATTAAAAGTGATGTCAATGTAAAGAAGTTAGATCTGACATTCAGATATATAAGATATTTTGACAAGTAGGCTTTATATGTAATTGATCAGTTACAATCAAATATAAAAGGTCCAAGGCAGGAGAATATTTTTAGCGCTACGAATGCATCGAGTTTTTGGTGTATTTTCCACTTACAATGTGACAAGTGTTTTACTTTTGTTAAATAATTAATAAATAATTTATTTTAAATTAGGCGAGAGTAATTTGATAAAAAAATAAGATATATTTCACATTGTGAGTGAAAGATATACTGAAAACTCGATGCATCCGTGATACTAAAGAAATTTTGCCAAGGCAGATATATAGAAAATAAAAGCCCTGTACATACCGTAGGTTGGCCCTGTAGTTGCTGGAATATTGCTTACCAACCTAGGTATTCAATTAAGAAAAGCAAAATTATGTTATTAAATTATTTTTCGGCAAAAAGATATTTCATAACATATTTATAATATATTTTTTCAGTTATAAGGTAAAGCTGCAGTCAAATTTATTATTTCTTAAATGTCTCGTGTTAGTAGTTTTAATTTAGAAAAACTAAAATATATAGCGGATATTTTCCCAGAATATCACACATTAAACCGGAGTGCAGTGAGAGAGCGCCCCCTTAATCTGGAACAAACTTTTATATTAGACCTCGTTCAGATTTAAAAGAAATATAACATAGCATAAGTTCGTTATCTTCAAACTCAGCCTTTTAATTTTTTGTCATATATATATAAAGAGTGTTTTTAAGAGAGAATGGATCCCCTAATATGTTACGTGATCTCATCTCATAATTATAAACAAGCGAGGGAGGGGATCTTACCAGTGCAAATATTCCCTCTGATTTGGATCACCTGGGCTAGGTGCATCAGGATCCACCATGATCTGCATGCAATATGATATCAACGACCCTAAAACCAAAATGAAGAATAATATATATAACCAATTAATAATACATGTGTGTGGAGTTGAACTTAATTAATTAATTACCAGAGTGTAAAAGGTCCTGAAGTCATGTCCACCAACTTCAACTCTTGGTTGGTTGACTATTTGGGAGGGCTTGAGTTCACCACAGTTGATAACTTCCGTGTTGTTGTTATAGACAATCCTAAGAGACACAGAACTTGTAAAAGGATCTAAAATATCTCCTATTACACGTCCAAGAACAAGTGGATCCATTGATCTAGCCATAATTGATCGATTTGTTCCTTGGTTTTAATTAGAAAGGTGGAAATGGCTATGCCTATTTATACATGCCCTTGTGGGTGCGTGTAAATTACTGATGCGCCATCACTAGATTCTGACTATCTCCTTAGATTTATTTCTATATATCTGCTAAAGGTTATGAAAGAAAAGAAAGGGCTCAGAGAGGATTCGACTTTCAAAATGATGTCTGCTACGTTCCTATTGGTCAGATGTAATTACTACATCAATATATTAGATATTCTGCACATATAGAGGGATAGCAATCAAACTATGCTCTCGCACTCCCAAGTATTGTAGTGCGCATCTGATGCCAAACTTGTTCTGCCATTGGGTTTCAAGATGTTGTGGGGGTCTTTATTCTATGTATTGTGGTTGTCTACAGTTGTTCTCTTTATTAATACAACCCCCAAAAAAAAAAAATTAAAAGGAAAATGTCCTAGCATATACTGCAATTTAAAGGTTTCGTTACCTTTGTATGTTAAAGGTAGGGGGCATTAACAATACTATCCCTAGCTAGCTAGTTATCGAAAAGCCAAATAGAAATCCAAGTATCTACCGGTCTTTGTCAACGCTATATATATATATATATAAAATAGCATGTTCGCATACAAGCTCAATAGGTGAAAACATAGTTATTTGGATCTATATGGACGGGAATCTGATAACATGCATTATCTTTAGGATTTTCTAAGCATAAGATAATACTGTTAAACATTCCAAACTTAATACCTTTTGGTGTAATACTTCAAGCAATTGAAAACTCTTCTCTCTCGAACTAATTACCCCTAACAAAATACACCGTCTAGTATGCCCTGCATTATGTCACTAAATTAAGAATGGATGTGATAGAGTAGTTTAAGGCTTTGTTTGGGAGTTTTGAGGGGAGTGAAAGGGAGGGGATCCAAGGGGGAAGGAGGGAAAGGAAATTGGAGGGTATTCCCTTCCCTTGTTTGGGAGTTAAAAAAATGGTAAGGAGGAAATTGAAGAGTCAATAAGAAATTATTACAATTTTACCCTTTTTCTAAAATTAATATAATTATTATATTTCACAAATAAAATAAAATTTAAAATTGTTAAACAAAATTATTTATGTATTATTCAGACTACTAAAAAAGATCATATATTCAAAAAAAAAATCCTACGTTGAAAGCGGCAAAATTTTTATCAAAAAAATATTTTTTCGTCGGAATACTTTTCATCGAAGACGATGGAATTTTTATCAGATGAAATATTTTACAAAAATAAAATTTCAGTCAAAACTTTCCACGGAATTTAGTTTTCGTCAAAAGTTTTGACGAAAATGATTTGTTAAATATTTTTGACAAAAAAAATTCCATCAAAAGTTTTGATGGAAAAAAGAATTCCTTCAGAAATTTTGATGAAAAATTTTCCGTCCAAAATCTTCGATGAAAATGTGTCTTAATGAAAATTTTAACGAAAATATTTTTTCAAAAATTTTGAGGGAAATGTTTCTGTGAAACTTTAGACAGAATTTAAATTCTGTAAAGAATTTTGACGAAATATTTTTTTTTTCGAAATTTTTTACAGAAATATTTTTCATCAAATTTTTTTACAGAAATAATTTTCGTTGAAATTTTTTGACGAAAATGTGTTCCATTGAAAATTTCGATAGAAATGTTTATTATCGAAAATATTTTTTTTCAAAAATTTTCGATAGAAATGTGTTTCGTCAAAAATTTTGACAAAATATTTTTTCGTCAAAAAGTATGACGAAAACATTTTTGACAGAAATGTGTTCCGTTGAAAATTTTGATGGAAAATTTTTTTTATCGAAAAACTTGACGGAAATATTTTTCGTCGAAAATTTTCGATGCAAATGTGTTTCGTTAAAAATTTTGACAGAAATTTTTTTGTCAAAAAGTTTAACGAAAATATTTCCGTAAAAAACTTTCGACGAAATTTAAATTCTGTAAAGACTTTTGATGAAATTTTCAAAAAAATTCGATGGAAATGTGTTTCAATAAAAATTTTGATGGAAATATTTTTCGTGAAAAAATTCGATGAATATGTGTTTTTGTGATAAATGTTGAGGGAAATGTTTTGACAAAATTTAGATTCCGTAAAGAATTCTGACAAGCAAATTTTTTACAGAAATATTTTTAGTCAGAAATTTTGATGGAAATGTTTATCGTAAAATATTTTGACGTAATTGTTTTACCTCGAAGCTTTTCTATTGAAATGTGTTTCTTCAAAATTTTGGGCGAAAATATTTTCGTGGAAAGATTTGACGGAATTTAGATTCTATCTATAACTTTGGTTGATTTTTTTTTCCGTAAAATTTTTATTTCAGTAATTATGGCAAAATTTGTTCTGTCTCTAATTTCGTCTTTAGTTTTGAGGGAAGTTTTTTGACGTATAAGATTTTCATCAAATATTTCATCACTCTTTTTGACGAAATATTTTTCCTCGTTAAATTTTGTCGGTATTTGAGATTTTTCTAATAATGTCACATTTAAAAATGATTCACATTATGTAGTTTTTACATTTTAATGCTAAGGGTAGATAAGTAATTTTTAATATTTTTCCCCTCAAACCCTCCAAATTGGGGAACTTAAATTTTAAGAAGAAGGAGGATTTTGGAGGGTTTAGTAAAAACTCCCAATTCCTTCCCCTCATTTTTTTTAACTCACAAACAAGGGAAGAACTTCCTAAAACTCTCCCTTCCCTTCCCCTCCAAAAACCATCTCCCAAACAGAGCCTAAGAGAAAACAGGGAAAAAAAAATTTCTGAGAAAGAAACTTCAAGTTTTTATTTCATATCCCTCAATTGCATGTTCATCAGAGCTTTTATTAATTCCATTGTGTTACACATATGATTCTACCCATCTAACAACCAATACCACCTGTCATCCTACAACTACCCCATTGTATTACAATTCACTAACAAGCTTATCAGTTTGACTATTTCATTCCTTACTTCAATTACATGTATAATCCTTCATCCAAGCTGAACTTCCTTTCTTCCTAATGGGCCTTCCAGAACTATTGGTGTCTGGAGCTGGGCCACTTGTGGTTGGGCACGTAACAGGATGTGTTGAAATGGTCGGAATGCGGGGAACCCAATTGGTTATTATAATTATGGGAGTGTTATGTAACTGCCTGATATGCTTGTTAGATGTTCAGAATTGAAGTTAGAATAATAAACATTTATAAAGGAGTGGGGGGTTATTTACCGAGTAATCGAGGGAAGGAATTGGAGTAAGGAGAGTTAAGAGATCTCAAAAGTACTGTGTGTTTGTAGTTCTGTGTTTATTCCATTGGTAGAGAATTGTATATTGTAGACATTCTATGTTACCTAATATTCACTGCTTAGGTCAGTTACATGATATATCTATGGACGTTGTTTGACTTTATTGGGGTTTTTGATTTGGCAATTTTCATCTTTAGTACGCATGCACGGGGAACTATTTTTTAGTGGGAGGTGTTGAGTTCCTCAACTCATCCACCAAAGAACTACTCTTTTTTTTTTTTGTTAAAAGAAAGTGTCGTATGTACCTCCATCCACGACATTTTCTAATTTTTTTATTTTATTTTATTTATGAAATGAGCGTCGCGGAGACCATCCCGCATCCCTCGTTCAATTTGAATTTTTAACATTGATGCAAAATGATTCAAAGTTTGAGTATATATTTTGGGAAATCATACTCTCACGTTGCTGAAAAAAAAATATCTTATGTTATTTATTATAACTACGTATTTTTTAGAGTATATAATTATAATATTAAAGTTTTTTTTTCAGAATATGTTGATTGACGTGGAGAGAATATTTTTTTTTAATATTATAACTCTATACTTTTCAAAATACATAATTATAATAAATAACATTCGATAAAAAAAATTCTAACATCATACATTATAAAGGAACTTATAAAGTATATGGATAAAATATGGAGGAAAAGTCCTGGGCTCCAGCACAATCCTAGAAGCACTAAATCAAGGTTAGAGAAGTTTTGATGAAAGTACACACAGAAATGAGGATATTATTAGGAATATTGAATAGCCCCATTCAATTAGTAGATGGATATATAACTCCCCCCATTCAATAAAAATGATTGGGAGCAGGTAAGTTATTATTGTCAGGAACAAGATATGCACATAAAGCCAAACATTGGCAAAATATTTTCAACACTTGTCGGGAATCACTAATAAATAGATATTTGTGGTTGAAACTCATGAAACATTTTTAGTGGTTCTGCCTCATGTACTTTTTTTTTTTTTTTTTTTGAGAGATTGATATTTGTATAATTTTTTTTTTACTCTCTTCTCTTCTTATTAATTGTCACATTTTTTTTGGTTTGAAACACTTAAAATTTGATGCCCCTGTACCACCAAAACTCTTCTCAAAGTCATGTTCGATGGATTAAAAATTTGAAAATATAAAACTAGAACAGGTAGAGAGGGTAAAGATGGTCCTACTTCCCTAGAAGAGAATTATTCCCAATTAAAATCATCATGTTCCCTTTTACGCTTTATTTTCTTTGTCATCACCATAAGGCAGTGTTTGGTTCGGGACATATCAAAATAATCCCATTTAAGTGTAAGTGGGTTTCCTAAAACATCACGTTTGGTTGAGGACATCGTTTCCCTTATCCATCATTCCTCCTTGCCTAGCCATCGAGATCAAAGTGAAAAATGGATGAAAATCACGGATTCACTTGCCCTCTCCCACCATGGTATTGCTGAGAAATTCGTTTTGATGGAAAGTGAAGATGAAAAATAAGACAAGTTTACCCCTGTTAATCCCAGCTGTACCCCAAATTCGAACACCAGTCTGACTTCGATTCACTTGAGTCTGCCTGTGGGTGGTGGTTCTGCTGTTAATTGGGCTGCATCTATTAGAACACCAAATTGTGTGCTTAAGGAATGGGCAGAGGACCGCAAGCTATCACTCTTTTCAGGCTATGAATATCTTTCTGCCATGGACATGGTGTGTAAAAGGATTGGTGTAACAGATAAATGTGTGGAGGAAGGGCTCCAAAATCAAGTTCTCCGAAAAGGTTGTAAGAATCTTGGTCTTCAAGTTGATTATGTGCCTAGAAATTCATCAGAACATCATTACTGTGGGTCTTGCAACTATGGTTGTAGAAGAGGAGATGAAAAAGGGACTGAAGTTACATGGCTTGTCGATGCTGTGGATCATGGTGAAGTAATTCTAACAGGATGCATAGCTGACATGTTTTTTTATAAGGATAGTTTTGTAATTTTATTAAGTTTTCCCATCAATATTTTATCTTCAACCAAACGCACATTCAGAAATTTAATTCAATTTTCCTGGTAAAATTTTGTCCAACCAAACAACTTTTTTAAAAATTTCCTATCTAATTCACTTTCTCTACAGATCTCTAGTATTTACATTTCCCTAGTATTAAAAAATTTCATCTCAATCAAACACTACCTAACTGTTTCCATTTCCCATCAATGCATTATCAAGTGGATACACATATTTTATTATATAATTAAATGGGTTTATATATGTTACCAAAAAAAAAGGGTTTATATATAGGGTGCATATTTTCTCATGTTGTAGGAGAGTAGGAGAGAAAAAAAAAGTAGAGATAAGTTAAATGTGGGTCCCACATTTTAAATTAAAAAAGAAAAAAAATTAATTGGCACGGAAAACGAATTTGTGTAGGAAAAAGTTCTTCTCTCATGTAGAAGGAGAGTATGATTTCCGTTATATATATTGAATAAAATCATTTTACACCGTGTAATTTATTATATATGTGAATTATATTAATGCAAATAAATCAATTGCTAATATGGGTGTAAGACTTTTTTTTCTTAACCTAAGCTTATGTGTGTGTGTGTATATATACATATAGGGAAGAATCCGTTTACAAATTTTTTTTATAAATTTTTGTAAATTACACTATGTATTCCCGGGAGAACGTAGTGTAACCTAATGTTCTCCCGGGAGTACATAGTATAGTTTGTAAACAAAAAGTTTGTAAATATAACCCTCCTCTATATATATATATATGAGAAGAATCTGTTTACAAACTTTTTTTTTTATAAATTACACTAAGTATGATTGATCATACTTATTATAATTTGTAAGAGTTTGTAAACAAAAAGTTTGTAAGTATAACCTTCCACACACACATATATATATATATATATATATATATATTAGAAATTTTATAAAAATATTGGAATAATTTATGAAAAAATATCAATACAAATTTTTTTGTCCCAATTGTACTTTAATTTAATTTTTTTTTTTAACTTGATAGGCTAAATAGGATTAAATTCACATGCTTAAATAGGTTAATGGGTCACGTTAGATGGAATTCAAAATATTCTATATAAACTTAGCCTATTTAATCCAAATTCGGCTTCATCGGATCTAATTACACCCCAAGAATAATAGTTATCCATTTAGTGACCAATAAAGGATGTGTAATAACCATTAACAACATATGTCACATTATTGAACATAATAACTCGAATGAATGTTGTCCCCGGGAGAAGTTATATTTATAATTTCTTTCCCATTACATCCACTTTTATAATTATTGGATCAAAATTAAATCAACATGCAGTTGAAAAATGACTTCAAGTGAGAGCAATTAATTTGATTTTAATCTAATAAAAATAAAAATAATCGTAAGAGATTATAAATATAATCCAAAAACTTGTTATGACTTCGGCAAATGCACTGGTCGTAAAAGGAACAAAAGTGTACTGAGTACGAGATCGTTCCCATGAGGATTGGTTTTCTAACACTAATTCGCTAACAACAATTTAGTTGGACAATCGAATTTGAGACGAAAAGAATTGAAATTAAAAACAATCAATAACATTCAATTTCAGAATTAAAAGCAAGAAAGTAAAAGGATGAAAGTTTTGAAAATCAAGAAGAGCGTAGTTAAGGTTTCGATTTCTTGCAATATCCTTCTTATGTTATGGATTAAACAATCAAATAAATGTTATCAAAAAAAAAAAAAAATCAAATAAATGCCTTTAATATAATGCCAATCAATTCCTCTAAAGTAGTTAAGGTTCAATTTCTTGTTACCTTAATTCTATGTAATCTTGAAAGAATCCTAGTTCCCGAGTTGTTCCCCCAAGAAAACATGTATTAACAACAAGAATCTAAAGATTGCATAATTACCATATGTCTATCCCTAGATCACAAGGATTATGATGAATTTATCAAATCAAGGTTCATGTACTAAAATCCTTATTGTCATACGATTCCCCTAAATCAATCTACAAGGAGCAAACTCATAGAAAGCATTAAACATAGATAAATTTACTCAATTATAAAAAGGAAAATTACAGAAAAATTTAATCCATAAACATAATAATTCAATTAGGTTTCATCTACCATTAACTACATAAAAATTTAGCCTAACATAGCGAAATCAAAGACAAGAGAAAATAAAAAAAATCCCTCAAACTCCATTGGTGTGATGGCGTGAAAAATCCTCAAAACTCTCAGCTTGTTCTTGAAGTCAACCCGCTCCCAATGCTCTAAAGCATGAAAGACGCGATTCTCTCTCCAAAATAGGATTTGCTCTTCTCAATTGTTCAAAAGCTCCATTGTTTCTGACTGAGTTACTTATTATTGAGATGAAACCATATCTTTTAATTTCCCATAAGATCTTCTATGGAATCTTTACTATAATCTCCAATCATATGTTTAATTAAATCTTTAAAATCTTCTCTTTTATATTTAATGGAAACAATTTCCTAAAAAATATTCAAGAAAATTTTCAATAAGATCTTCAATCAATTATATGATTCAGAAATTCAAAACAAATTTACTTAAGCTCTCCAATTTATCTTTTTATTGAGCTGAAAATTGCTGCAAAATATAAGAATTTTTATGAGAATATTACTGAGAATAAAATAACACTTTAATTATAATAATTTTAATTTTTAATTACTTTTAATCAATTTCATGTCCAAATTAACCTTAATACATAATAAATTGGAGACTCATCACCTACCTCATTGTATTTCTTTTTTTAGTAAACTCATGAATTCCTCACGTCACAGGATGAGACTAATCTCTTCATGGTTTGGAGTGAGAAGATTTTCATTACTGACCCCAAAATGCTTCTCATAGGAATCGAACTTATAATTTCATCAGCAAGTGCTTTTCTCTAATCAATTTAAATTATAATAATCCTTTTTAATGATTTTTTTGTCTATTTAAATTACCTAACATTAATTTTGCCTTATTCCTTTCTGATCACAAATAAAAGTAAAAATTCAATTCCAACATTCTCATAGTTAAAAACTAGAAGTCTTATACAGCAGCAAATGAAGCCAATCAGGAGGCTTGGAAATAACTTGTGTAGGCATGAGATAGCATGCGGTCACGATTATTAACATATCGTAATTACTAATTACTACCTATTTTTCTTATTATTTTTTACTATTAAATTTTAATTGTTGATTTTCACCAGTTTAACGATTGTAATTTATGGATCATGTTTTTTAATTAATTACTAATTTCAATAAATTATAACTGTTATATTGGCAAAAATCAACAGTTAAGATTTAGTAGTAAGAGGTAGTAAGTATAATCTCTTCTATATATATATATATATATATATATATATATATATATATATATATATATATATATATAGGAACAGGATCCGTTTACAAACTTTTTTCGCAATTACACTAATGTAGGACCGGTCGTACACTGTGTGATTAATGTAGGACCGGTCCTACATAGTATAGTTTGTAAGAGTTTGTAAACAAAAAAGTTTGTAAATATAACCTGCCCCATATATATATATATATATATATATATATATATATATATATATATATATATATATATATATATATATATATATATATATATATGTCTCGTCCTTATATTTTCTTCACTGTATTATTGTCTCGTCCTTCTACTTCCACCCGAATCATTTTCTCGTTGACAGTTGAAATACTTAGCGGCAACTGGTAATCCAAGATTATAAATCGCAGCAAAATCTCTTGTGTTGAAATTTTGGCGCCATCCTGGAGCATGTACAGTTTGTCTGCCCAACTGACGAAACAACACAAAAACAATTCGATGAATCCCTGCTGTTGGTCGTGGACTTTCATAGCACACAATCTCTTCTCCTGTAAAATACGCGGGCATTACAGATAAAATAAAATATTCAATTTATAAGACTGCAAGATAGTGTAATATAGCATACACACGCATATGTTATAATTTGCTTAGTCAAAATATTTACTATTTCTCAATTAAATATTTTTAAAATTAACTAATTATCATGTAGTTATTAGAATGAATAATTGCCTAACAAAAAGAAATAAGGTGTTTTATTTAACAACAACAACAATGGATGACTGCTTACACACATGAATAATCTCTAGTTAAACAACTATCTCATAGTTAACTATTAGATTAATTTTTTTTATCATTTGACTCATGCTCACAAAATATAAATTAATTATTCTATCAATTATTTTTGTATATTTATTAAGATCAAATTAATTATTAATAAAAAATTATTTGCATTCTATTAAATGTTTTAAAATTAATTTAAACTATGGTTTTAAGAAAAAAATTTATTTGTCAACCATTCAACGATTTATTTAGTATTATATATAATTTTTAAAATTCAAATTAAAATTTTAAATAATAAATTTTTAAAATTAAAATGTTACAATAATTAAATTTATTTTAATAAAATTTTATAATTCAGCTATGATAAATAATAATAAGTTTATAATTCATCTATTTTTAGTAAATTGTTATATCTTAAATGTAATTCATAAATGGAAAGACCAATTGTAATTTTGACATCTCTTTATTCTTGTTTTGAAAGTCTTAAATAAACAAGAATTAGAAGTGATGCAACGCAAAGAATTTAGATCTTACATTCAGACATATAAGTTAGTTTGACAACAAGTAGGCTATATAATTGATCAGTTCCAAGGAAATGTAAAAGGTCCACGGCAGATATATAGAAAATAAAAGCTGCGTACACATACCAAAGCTTGGCCCTGTAGTTCCTGGAATATTGCTTACCAACCTAGGTAATCAATGAAAAAAAAAAAGCAAGGTTATTAAATAATTTTTAGGCAAAAAGATATTTCATATAATATTTATAATTTTTTTTCAGTTGTAAGGTAATTGCTGTGTTAATTTAGAAAAACTAAAAGTAGCGAAGCGATATTTTCCCAATGTGTCACACATTAGACCGAAGTGCTGGTGGAACCATGGAGGGGTTAGGGCGCCCCACTTAATCTCATATAACTATACAAGCATTAAGAATAGTGAAAAGAAGTTGCTCAAAAGTTAAGAATATCCGGAAGAAACTTGACATGAACATCACTACTAGAAAAAATCTGTATAGTGACAAAATTATTATGAAAATTCAATCGCTAATTTCATCCTCGCTATTACTTTCTGTCACAAATTCTCTCACAAAATCATTTGCGAGGGAATTTGCGATGGAAAATAGTAGCGAGAATGAAATTAGTGACGAAATTTCCATAACAATTCTGTCACTATACAGGTTTTGTTTAGTAGTGCGCATGAACGACATTCTACGCGGAAGTATAAATTTGGAGAGAAATAATGATGGAAAAGAAAAAGGCATTTTATAGAAATGTGATTGATAATCTTCAAATTATTTTACAACGACTGCATGACCAAATTTTCTGTTTCTAACAAGGCTAAGATATATCTACATCCATGATAATTAATCTCAACAACTTTCATACAGCAAATTAAAGAGTGTCTTTAAGAGAGAATGGATCCTCTAATATGTTACGTGATCTCATCTCATAAACAAGCGAGGGAGGGGCACTTACCAGTGCAAATATTCCCTCTGATTTGGATCACCTGGGCTAGGTGCATCAGGATCGACCATGATCTGCATGCAATATGAAATCAACGACCATAAAACGACCAAAATGAAGAATAACATAACCAATTAATTAATACATGTGTGTGGAGTTGAACTTAATTAATTACCAGAGTATAGAAGGTCCTGAAGTCATGTCCACCAACTTCAACTCTTGGCTGGTTGACTATTTGGGAGGGCCTGAGTTCACCACAGGTGATAGCTTCCGTGTTGTTGTTATAGACAATCCTCAGAGTCACAGAACTTGTAAAAGGATCCAAAATATCTCCTATTACACGTCCAAGAACAAGTGGATCCATTGATCTAGGCATAATTGATCAATTTGTTTCTTGGTTTTAATTAGAAAGGTGGAAATGGCTACGCCTATTTATACATGCACTTGTGTGTGAGTGTAATTACTGATGCGCCATCAATAGATTCTGACTTTCTTCTTAAGATTTATTTCTATGTATGTGCTAAAATTTAAGAAAGAAAGGAAAGGGAAGGATTCGACTTTCAAAATCCATCACGTATAGGAAAGCATTTTTAGTATTACCGTCGTACTAAATAGTATATACAACTCTCAGATAAAATGAAATTACAGATTATTTATTTCAGGGAGTATATAGATATAGGGACAGGATCCGTTTATAAATTTTTTTTTGCAATTACATTAATGTAGGACCGGTCGTACACTGTGTGATTAATGTAGGACCGGTCCTACATAGTGTAGTTTGTAAACAAAAAAGTTTGTAAATATAATCTGCTCCATAAATATAATGTTAATTTTTTTTTTTTTTTTTCGTAAAATATGTCAGCACTTGTGTTATATTCTTATTGGTCGGATATAAATATTACTCTAGTATATTAGATATTTTCCACGGGATAGCAATCAAACTACGCACTCAAACTCCCCCTCGTACGTAGTGCATCAGATGCCAAACTTGTGCTGCCATTTTGTTTCAAGATGTTGTGGGGGATCTTTATCCCATGGATTGTGGTTGTCTACAGTTGTTCCCTTATTAATACAGCCCCGCCAAAAAAATTAAAAAATAAAAATTATAGGAAAATGTCCTAGAATATACTGCAATTTAAAGGTTTCGTTACCTTTGTATGTTAAAATTAGGGGGCATTAAAAGTTTATACCATCCCTACCTAGTTAATGAAAAGCCAACTAGGAATCCAAGTATCTACCAATATTTGTCAACTATGTTATTCAAGAAGAAGTGCCATGGTGTATGTTTTTTGCAAACGATATTGTGCTTATTGATGAGAGCAAGGAGGGTGTTAATAGAAAACTTGAATTGTGGAGAAGCACATTGGAATCCAGAGGATTCACATTAAGTCGAAGCAAGACTGAGTATCTGAAGTGTGAGTTTTCTCTGGTACGAGATGAGGACCAAGAACCTGTGCATCTAAATGGTCAAGAGGTACCCAAAAAAGATGCTTTTAAATACTTGGGCTCCATTTTACAAAACGGTGGAGAGATTGATGAGGATGTAAATCACAGAATCAGAGCAGGGTGGATGAAATGGCGCAGTGCATTTGCATTTTTGTGTGACCGCAAAATCCCCCTGAAGTTAAAAGAAAATTCTATAAAACGGCAGTAAGACCGGCAATGCTATATGGAGCGGAATGCTGGCCAGCACATAGGCAACATGAGCATAAGATGGGAGTAGTAGAGATGAGGATGTTAAGGTGGATGTGTGGTTACACAAGGATGGATAAGATAAGAAATGAAGATATTCGACGAAAGGTCGGAGTAGTACCGGTAGCCGAGAAGATGAGAGAACATAGATTGAGGTGGTTTGGGCACGTGATGAGAAGACTCATGGATGCTCGTGTAAGAACAGAAGTTTGTTACCAAGAGCTCAACACAAAAAGAGGCAGAGGTAGGCCGAAGCTTACTTGGGGGAAAGTAGTAAAACAAGATTTAATGGAGTGGGATATAGATTGGCGGACAGTATGTCTTAGAACGGAATGGAGAAAAGCTATAAGTATGATGGAGGGTTAGACCCGCTGTTATTCCTATGTTCCAGATGGTCCCTTTTTAGTCCTTTTCCCCTTCATTTCCCACCACTTCTTCTTGTCCCTTTCTTTTTTACTTTTATTTATTTATATATACATATATTGTTATTTTATTTTATCTTATTTTATATTTTTATTTTATTTGTTTATTTTTATTTATTTATTTATTTTTTTGCTTTTTTACTTTTTTACTTTTTTTTTATTTTTTTTAACTTTTTTTTCAACCGTTTTGTATATTTCATGTGGGTTCATCTACCACCGACCCCAATTAATTTGGGATAAAGGTGTTGTTGATGTTATTTTCCTTCTGACTTTCACAGTATCTTCCAGACACACACGCACACAAAAAAGCAAAAAAAACAAAACGTGTAATCAGCATAGAATAAAGTGTGTACAGTTTGTTGCTCCATAAAGGGCTAGGATTCCTTCATGAGTGTCACCATGCTAGCAAAATCTACATCTTGATCAAATTAAATAACCTTTTAAGGCAGCCTTTTCTTTTTTCTTTTAGATAATATATTCCTCTTTCTTGGTTTCATGGAAGTCAAGTTTTGCCCATGGTCACCAACTGTATGTTGAATTGAAGTCTTGCATATGCATGTTTGGGAAAAAAACTGCTATGAAGCGCGCGCACAAGTTCGGAATTGATCTCTTATGTTACAATTTGACATGATTTTCATGTGAAAATTTTATTTTTATTTCTTATATTAAAATTTGAAATAATATCTTCGTGAGATAATTTTATTTTTTATTTCTCTTTAAATATAAATGTATATTCACAAATTTTGATAGGATATCACCTAAGTCAATATTTATTATTGGTGGTAATTTGGTAAAAGTTGAATAGATTGGAATTGATTAGGCTCAATGCTACTGCTGATCGAAAAACTATGAACGGTGACCTGTCTTTAGACCTGGAAGTTTAGTAAATCGTAAAAGGGATCGAAAGCTAGCTAGGCCGATCGATGGAGGGAAATGCATTGACAAAATGGATAGTAATTCATTTATTATTAATATGAAACCTTTCTATAATAATACTTTAATTTCTACTGATACTGATCTAATGTTATAACAAACGATTACAATATATATATATATAGGGATAGGATCCGTTTACAAATTTTTTTTTTGCAAATTACACTAAGTACGACCGGTCGTACACTATATGATTAAAGTATGACCGGTCGTAGTTAGTGTAGTTTGTAAGTAAAAATGTTTGTAAATATAACCTGCCACACATATATATATATATTGACAAACTTTTTTTGTATAATTACATTATCTTCTATCGGTAAGACTTTACTCAAGAGTATATTATCGGTAAGACATAGTGTAACTAGTTTGTAAACAAAAATTGTAAATATAGCATTTTTCATATATATACATATATTATATATATGTAGCTAGTTTGTAAACAAAAAACTTATAAATATAATAATTTCCATATATATATATATATATATATATATGGGCTTTATTAATCTCATGCAATAGGAGAGAACTCTCTCATGCTATAGAGACAATCATGTGTGGGACACCCACCCACTTATAGAAAAAGAAAAAAAGATAAAAAAAAGTAACACGGAAATCGATGTATGTGTAGGAGATAAAAACACTCTCCTACAACATAAGAGTATATTTTCCTTATATATATATATATATATATATATATATATATATATATATATATATATATATATATATATATATATATATATATATATATATATATATATATATATATATATATATATATATATATATATATACTGATCGAGAGCAATGCCGCTATGTGCTAAAGAAATATAGTGGTAATTAATAATTAATTATTTAATAAGAGAGACTTTATAGTTATAATTTTTTTTTATAATTTCTTATAATAATTTTTCTTATATATCAAAATTAAATAAATAATCAAAAAATAATATCCAATGATAGCCATTAATTTAATTTTAATTTTACAATAACAAAATAATTATAAGAAAAAAAATATTATAAATATAACCTACTCCATCTAATAACAAAAGCAAAGTTTTTTCTGTACAATGTAAATTACCTTATTATTATGTTGTGGTGTTTCAAGTGGTAAGAGCACCTATTTGGAAATCAATCCAGTAATTTACACAGCACATCTTACATATTATTTTTATAATTTTTAATTAATCAAGATTCAAACGAGATTCACCAAAAATTTATTTGTCTTAGCCATTCTATATTAATTATTCTTGCTTTTTCAATAAACTGCTTTTTAAAATATGAGCTAAAATTAAATTAGTAATCTATTAATCAATTTATACATATCAAGTTAATAAAGATTTTAATATTGTTAACCAGATTTTCTCGTGTATAAATGGTGTAGATAAATGATATGCACGAAACACATTTTCGTATGCAAATATATTTAGGATGGGATATTTTACGATTTAGTTGGAATACGATTGTATTGCGTGTGCACTTTTCGGTCATAAATACCTAAAATTATGGAAACATAAATGGATTAATTGATGCACCAGATATTGGAAATTTATTATTTATTACTGTTGTATACGTTGATGGTAGTGCAAAATAGAAACGTTATGGATATGTACCGAAAAAAAAAAAAACGTTATGGGAATTGCTTATAATATATATAAGGTTATTGTTTGTTGTGTAATTGGATAGTGAAGTCATAATTAAACTACGTTATTTTATTTATTTATTTTTTTATATTATTTTATTCATCTTTGTATGGTTACGATTTTCCTTTTCTCTCTCTTCCTTTATTACCATTTATCCACTTTTGTACGTTTATGATTTAGTTACTGGACAAAAGCTTATATACAATTGACATTCATAAAACCATATATATATATATATATATATATATATATATATATATATATATATATATATATATAGCTTTAATGTTTCTAGAGGAAATGTAAATAAGTTATCTACAATAACTCTAAAAAAATATCATTTTGAGTTAAAAAATTAAAAAATTATAACGGAAAATACTATTATAACCTTGAAATAAACTATAATTACAAAATAGCTTGATTTCTGCCTCAAAATGACGTCGTTTCAGACTCAATGTAGATAATTTATTTACATTGACTGAAGACAAAATTAACACTATATATATTATGGAAACGTAAGAGTCATGTAACAGGAAGGAAAATTAATTTCCTATATACACAACTTTTGGTGGGACCCACAAATTAAAAAAAAAAAAGAGAAAGAGGGGTTGTTATTGGTGAGACTTGTGAGTGCAGGATATTTTTTTTACTTCCTATTATATAACTTTTACATTTTCCATATATATATATAT